CCCTTCCTCCTGCTCTTCCGGCCTGCTACTCTGTGCTACGCCTGTGCTTACCTTGCTCCCGAAGACCTGGTCCCTCTCGGTAGATTCTAAATTTACAAAAGGTGTTATGTCCAAAGTTCTTGAATCAAACATCAAGCTGGAGGATTTTTCTGACTCACACAGCTGCAGGGGCTGAGGTGCTCCAGATTGGCAGACAGTATACTGGCTGTTGATTCCAGGGAATGACGAATCCAAGATCTCCAGGCCGAATGCTGGATTGTTCACTCACAGACAGTTTTAAGCAGCAGAACAGAATCCTGATCCACAGAAGAAGATAATCCAAATACAGATACTTAAACAACAATCAAGAACTATCTCATTATGCATAGATTCTTAAGATATTTCAAAAGTAATGCAAATATCTTGACATTAATTCATAAGAAGCCATAGGTTCACAACCAACTGGAAATCATTAGATTTTTTAATGTTCTAACTATAGCAAAATCTTCAGCAAGCATCACATGGAATAAATGTATTTTATGTATGAAAATTGCAGCTGAGATTGGTGTAAATTGAAATATTATTAAGAGTGAAATTGCAGGGAAAATTGTATCTACTTCGGAAAATCTAAGCTGTGAGAAAAATTGGACAGTTTTAATTCTTGAAAGCTTTTAAGAGCTAAAATATTCTTAGTTTATATTTTAAGTTTTCTTCACCACAAACCTTACAAGGATAACTAAGTGTTTCAGTATGGGTTCACATAAAATTTAATTTATAGTCAAATTCAGTGATTACAGCTAGAAATCATTCATTAAAAATCGTACAATGCAAATTTGTCAGATTCCATATCATTTGGAACAATATTCAGTTTATAAATGCCTATAAAAGAAAATATTTTCCACTTTTCTCACATATTTCTTCAAGGAAATGATATTATTTTACTTTATCAATTGTCATAATGTATATGGGATGGTGATAACATCAGAGTTTGTCATTTGTGTAGTATTTGTTACTGCTTCTTTAGGTTGTTTCAGTTGGTAAAACAAATGAACAACAACAAAAAAAAAAACACACCAATTCCGATTCAAGTTGACAAAGATGATGTATACATTATGTGTAAGGAACTAAGTAAAATTGAAAAGCAAAGTAAAGCAAGACAAAATAGGAATCCAAATCATGGTACCTTACAAGAACCAGTGAAAAATAGCACTCACAGGCATAGCATGATTGACAGTACAACTAGTAGTTTTGAAATGGAAGTAGATGTTCGCCTTCAGCAGCAAAAGGTTTTTTTACTGGAAACAGTACATACTATGCTGATTATGACTTGACCAGTCAGTTGTTGTTGTTGTTGTTATGTGCCATCAAGTCGGTCGGCCCCGACTCATAGCGACCCCTCCTTGGGTTTCCGAGGCATTATCACTACGGAAGTAGGTTTGCCTAACCTTCCTTCCGAGGAGTAGCTGGTGGGTTTGAACCGCCAGCCTTCTGGTTAGCAGTCAAGTGCCTTAGGCACTATGCTACCAGAGCTCCTTGACCATGTAGTTAGATAAGGATTAGTTTCTTCTTCCTGCTTTATAACTTATTAGCTGAGTGACATTAGGCAACTTATGTTTCAACTACAAAATGTTCATAGTAATTGATATTACCTTAGGCAAGTTATGTATCAACTAGAAAATGTTCATAATAATCCATATTACCTGTTCCAAGAGTTGTAAGAATTTAGAGAGATAATCTTTGTAAAAGTACTTGGCACATCACAACCAAATGCTAACTTCTCCTTCATTATTATCATCATTATCAAAATTATCATCACCATCAGTGCCAGGACACTGGCATGTATGGTTCATACATTTTCGGTGTTTCTGCTTCTCTCAGCAAGTATTCTCAGTTCTCTCAGCATTACCAAGCAACTTAGCTTTTATTTAAGTCTTTTCTTTAATTCCTAAGGAGCCCTAGTAGCATAATGGTTAAGCACACAGCTTCTAACTGAAAGGTTAGGGGTTTGAAGCCTCCACCAGTTCCTTGGGAGAAAGATGATGCAGTCTGATACCATAAAGATTACAATCCTGGAAGCCTTTTGGGACATTTCTACCCCATCCTATAGAGTTACTAGTAGTCGAAATGTACTTGACAGAAGTGAGTTTAGTTTTTGGTTTTTCATGTCATAGCTGTAGTTTCCTAGTAACTTTAACCTTTTTATTACTCTAAGTCCTTTGAAATTTATTCACTCTGCCAAGGCCCTGATTATCTCTAAATTTACTGGATATAACTCCAAGGGGAGGAATTAATCTCAATTGTTTCTTCCTTTGGGCTGGGATTCTAGGGTCGGGCCATACAATAGGCTAGTTTGTGATTCATTAAACTGAGTTCAGAAATTGTTGAGTCATTTAATGCAAAACAAGTCTGTGTAATGTTGCCCTTCAAAAATTTGGGGCATTTTACTCAAAGGGGCAATGATCATGGCTGAAACATGCTTACTCTACCCCTAAATTAGTAGCAAGTGTGCAGTGAAAGAGAAAGGTACAAGAACTCTGGGATAAATACTGTTTGAACTTCACTGGCTGAGGTACTGATCAATTCTTCAGTCTAATTGGAACTTGATATCACAGCCCTGCTTTGCAGTGTCAATAATGTGTCAGTATGTATTTGTGTCTCGGTTAAAGTCATTGTAATATGAATATATTCTCATTTAGAGGTTGTGTTCTATTGTTTTCAATTAAGTGTGTGTCATTTTTATAAGTCTCTTGGTAAAGTGTGTTGTTGTTGTTGTTATGTGCCGTCAGGTCAGACCTAACTCATAGTGAACCCTCCTTGGGTTTCCGAAGCAGTATCACTATGGAAGTAGATCACCCAACCTTCCTTCTGAGCAGTGGCTGGTGGGTTTGATCCACCAGCCTTCTGGTTAGCAGTCAAGTAAGTCAAGATTAAACAATTTACTAAAATTATAGAACCAATTGTGAGTTGTAATGGTGGGTCTTGAATAGAGATATTGTGTCTGCCAACCCAAAATGTTTCAAGTAGACTTGAACTATTTTTGGTAACCTTGAAATTTTTACATCATTATAAAATTTGATGTGTTATTAGATCATTTTGCTATTTATAAATTAAACACTAATTAAGTATCAGAATTTTAGAATTTGTTTTAGTATAAACTCAAACCTATGTAATATCCTGAAAAACAGTATTTTCTTTTAAAATGATGTATCTGGAATTGAATTTTATTGATTTGTTCTTACTTTAATTTTTATCAGGCTGCTAAGTTGGCGATCACAGTGCAAACTTTGGAGTCCCAATGGGGGACTCAGGATCAAGACGATCTACCCTGGTCTCCCGGTTGCCAATATTCAGAAGAAGTATTAGCAGAAGACATGATTCTCTTCCTTCTTCACCCTCCTCGAATAATACAGTTGGTGTCCACAGTTCTTCTCCTTCCAGCACCAATTCAAGCTCAGGTAGTACAGGCAAACGCAGGAGTATATTCCGTACTCCTTCCATTAGCTTTCACCATAAGAAGGGGAGTGAACCGAAGCAAGAGCCTACCAACCAGAACCTTAGTATTTCAAATGGTGCTCAACCTGGTCATGGCAGTATGCAAAAACTGAATTTAGAAGAGCATGTTAAAACCAGGGGAAGACATTCTGTTGGTTTTAGTAGTACACGGAATAAGAAGATAACAAGATCTTTGACAGAGGATTTTGAAAGGGAAAAGGAACATTCAGCTAATAAGAATGTTTTCATAAATTGCCTAAGTTCTGGCAAAAGTGAGGGGGATGATTCTGGATTTGTAGAAGAACAGACTCGTCGTTCTGTTAAACAGTCAACAAGGAAACTACTTCCTAAATCTTTTTCATCTCACTGTAAATTCTCTAAGCCAGTTCCACAGAGCCAATCTATTTCACTGGTACAACAGTCTGGTTTCTCACTGGAAATTACACAATACCAAGAGATAGAACCTGTATTAGTAAGCACGTCTCCATCTTGTTCTGTGGATGTTACAGAACGGGCAGGAAGTTCCTTACAATCTCCTTTGCTTTCTGCTGATCTTACCACAGCTCAGACACCTTCTGAGTTTTTAGCCTTGACTGAAGATTCCGTGTCTGAAGCAGATGCATTTCCCAAGAGTGGAAGTCTGGTATCCCACTGTGACAATACTGGCCACAATGATTCTACCTCTCAGATCTCTCTCAATCCTGCTGCTCTTACAAAGACAACAATAGAACTTAAGGCAAATGTTCCCTGTGCAATTATGTCTCCTAGGAAATGCAGGTTAGAAGGTCGATATAGTACTGAATCTAATTCCTTACCTGAAACCCCTGCTGCTAACCAGAAAGAAGTGTTATTGCAAATCACTGAACTACCTGCTATAGATTTGAGTGACTCAGAGATTCACCTCTTACGGGAGAATCAAAAAGAAGAAAGTAAAGTGTTGCAAAATGGTGAAACAATTCTGGAGACAGGCTCCCCAAGGAAATTTGGATTTTATGAACAACATAAAGCAATACCAGAACGTATTAAAGGGATCCATCCTATTTCAGATTCAAAGACAATACCCTCCTCTGGTGATCACCATATTTTTAACAAAACATCATATGGTTATGAAGCAAATCCCACCAAAGGTATGCTACTTTTCTTTGTAGTGTAAATGATATAGATTAATTCCATATTGACTTTACTTTCTTACTCCATCTATGAATAGAAACCATATTTTCCATATTTTTCACTAATATTCTTTCCCTATTTAGAAATAAGTTTTAAGTATTTTCCCTTTGATTTTAAGCTTACCTTAATTTATTGTGCATAAAGTAATCCAACAATGTTTGTCTTAATTGTGCTACCTAAATTCTGATTCTCAGAAATTGCTTAGCATATTTACTAATTATCAGAATAAAGTGAAAAGTAGTTGATTTCTTTTGTAGTGTGGCTGTATCTTAAAGAAGACTATCTCTTTAAAGTTTATTATAGAGATATTGGTATTTCTTACTTAATGAAATGGATATATTCCAGCCAAAATCATTATAAAAAAAAATAGATGATTTTAAACTCCATTTTCATTTTCTGTTTCCACAATGGTTTCATAGTTTGGTGTAAATATTCTCTATCTCATGATACAGTATAATTGCAAGCATTTAAAATACTGTCTGCAGAGCTGTGAGACCCTGGTTGTAATCCAGCTTCTGTCATAAACTAGCTGTGTCACTTTGTATACCTTCTTTTTAGTTTAAAAGAAAAATAAGCTTTGAATTACTCCCTTTTGGGTGCAGAAAACTCTGAAATTTAACATAGAATTCAGTTGCGAAGTTTATCGAATATATACCACCTTTGTGGTACAGTGTTTAAGCACTCAGTTGCTAACTGTAAGGTTAGCGCTTCAAACCCATAAGCCACTCCGAAGGAGAAAGATGACAGTCTACTTCCATAAGGATTGTTGTTGTTGTTGTTATGTGCCGTCGAGTCGGCCCCGACTCA